GGCGGCGGGCGGGGGGACGGCAAGGGGACGCGGGAAGGGGTGTCCCGCCCCCGCCGCCGGGGGGAGGGGGGGGGCACGCACCAAGGAAGCGGGGGAGGAGGACGGGGTCGACGACGACGAGACGGAGTTCGTTGCGCCCCCGCACATCCCTGGCGTAGCCGGGAGAGGGAGAGTGTGCACGGTTTGCCTGGGTCCGGGCGGAGGGAAGAAGGGAGGAGGCGAGGCTTTGCTGGAGTGTCGAGGGTGAGTGGTTGGTGGGTGCGAGGGGTGGTGAGTGTTGGAGGCCGGAGTCTGTTGGAGGAGACGGCGGTGTAGTGGCGTACGCTCCAACGACTGCCGTGTCTATTTCATCTGTGGTGGGGATGTTTCAAAGGGGCCTTGGGCGAATCAGCCCTCCTCCTCCATCTGAGAAGTCTCCAACACCGCCTTCATTGGGGGGTTTGCCACGGAGGCTTATATTCGCGAAGACAACGCCAAGGTTGGTTGGGGTGCAATGGAGGCGTGGCGTTGAGGGTCTCGCGCGTCTGTCTCAACCGTATCGTAACGTGACTGCCATTCTGCTTCACGACCTCGCTGGCTACTTCTTACCGGTGGTAGGGGTCGCCGTAAGAAACTTCGTACCCCCCCGTTGGCACAACTTCCATCCAAATTGGCCGATGGTGTGAGTTTCGACTATTCTCAGAATTTTTTTTGCGTAAAATGCTGCTCCCCCCCCACGACCCAAACTCGTCATTCAAGCACCACATGCCATCATCATGACCATGATGCCGCTCTTGCTTTTTTTGCTCTTTCCTGTGCAATGCGTGCCCCCCCCCCTCCCCTGAATATATTTGTGTACGCCCATCACAAAAGTTCCAACCGCAACTGCAAGACGCTGGTACACAAGAACTGCTACCCCGTGGCCGTAAAGACCATCGACGGCCGCAGCGGCATGTTCGTGTGCAACGCGTGCGAGAGGGACAAGTCGGCCGGCGGGGTCCGCCCCGAGGAGCGCGGGTGAGCGAACGAGCGTTTGGGGTCCTCGTGTCTTTGGTTCGCCGTTGTGTTTTGGTATTTTCGAAGAAACCCGTGAGTACATACATGTGTTTGGGTGCGGAAGCTTCGTCAGAGGCCGAAAGAGAAGGAAGGTTGGCTCAAGACCTCGTTGCTTACAGAGTGGTCGTCGTGAGGCAGGCAACACGATCGCCATGTAGCATGTCCATCATCACATATCGTCCGCGTATCCCCCCGGAGGCCCCGTAGGCAGTATTCTCTGCCCAGCACCCCAAACACCATGTACAATCGCAGAAACACCCGTATCCGGAGCAAGGGCGGACGAAACTTTTTGGGTCCGCTCTTGGCTCTGTTTCGTTTTCCTTTTTCAAATCATGAAAAACAATCGCAGAAAGACCGGCACCCGCGGAGTGTGGGCGAGCGAACTTTTGGGGTCTTTTGTTGGGCTCCCCGTTTTCGTTTTTTTCGAGGAAACCCACATGAGTACACACAATCACAGGATGACCAGTACCCGCAGCCGCAACACAGAAATCAATGGCCTGTTGTAAGGAATGAACAATCGCTACATACGCCTTGACATCGTGATCATGATTATTGTTTTGCAGGTGCGTCATCTGCCGCCAGACCCAAGGGGTGGAGTCGTACGCCATGGTGCCGACGAAGGAGGGAGACTTCGTGCACTTGCTCTGCTTCAAGAAGGCCGTCCCCGATGCCGAGAGCCACTGGAAGTTCGACAACGGTGAAAAAGAACAAGCGTCTTTTGCTGCTCACGTCGGTTCGGGTCAGGGGGTTACTCATGTGTGTGGTTGTTATTTAGACCATGAACCACACGATAGGTTCGTGGGGGGGGGGGGTCTCTTGCGTATTTTATCTCGTCGTCGTAGTCTGGTCCATTTTATTCGACCGGTCTGTTGGCGTGCGTTTTTGGTCCGCCTGCTGGTCTCTTCGTGATTGCCCCGCCTCTCGATAGGCCCCTTCTTGATTGGGCCTGTCTGTTGACACCATTTTTTGGTCTCTCTGCTGGTTGGTCTATTTGCCGATGGTCCATCCGTTCTCTCTCTCTCTCTCTGATTTTGAAACAACTCCCTTTTGTTGCCCCCGCTCTGGCCGTAAGCAGGCAAGTACGTTCCTCCGCCTGGCGTGCCTGAGGCTCTCGCTCGCGCTAAGGCCAAGAGGCGGTGCAGCGAGTGCAAGCGCACGGGCGGGGTGGTGAAGACGTGCGAACGCCAGGACTGTCGGACAAGGTACGTGCGGACGTAGGGTGCATATCGATCAAGCAAGCGGTAAAAAAAAAAGAATCTCGCTCGATGGTTTGCTCGTTTTGGGAACGAGAGTTGTTGGTCGGACTCCGGTTTGTGCAAACAAGTTAGCGCTTTTTTTCGGGAGTTTTTTTTTTTGGGGGGGGGGGGATTCCAACTTGTTCGTGGATAAGTGGGCGACGAAAATATGAGACTTCTGTGATCCATAAGAGCCAATAGACCCTTGTGCGCGTACAAGCCTCGGGCTTTGGCTTTTGGAGAAACATCACAGTGAGAAAAAAAAACGAAAATCTACGAGAACCGGAGTAAACCACAAAGCTGACTCCGTTTCCCAAACGCATGCCCCCCCTCCCCCTCGTCCGTCATCCGATGCAAAGCGTTGGAAGAACCAACCGCGGGCGAAGAATCCTAGCATCAAGTGGCAGCCGCTTTCCTCACTTCTCACCCCTACCACA